CAAGACTCTCCAGGCCCCAGCGCTGCTGGAAGGACAGGAGGAGCACATTCCTTGCTAATAGGGTGTAAGCCACAGATGTTCATTTTGAACATCAAAAAAGTGAGCAGGCCACTATCTTGCAGTTCCTTTAATCCATCTGCCTCCAGAAATAGGCACGCTCTCACCTACATATGAACTCAGTGTTTCTCAGAGGCCAATGCAGGAAAACCCTGCTGCAAAGCTACAGACTGCAATTCCATGGTGACTCAGAGGGGCCTCTGCTAAGGCCACGCTTACCAGTCAGTCTGTAAAAACAAGGCAAAACAGCTGCGTCCTTATGAATTAACTGAAAGTGGTGTGTGTTTTACTGACACGACGGAGTAAGAGACCAGCAGTTGCGCCTCATTAGCGCACCTTCCCTTTGCTCTTCTTGTGCTGAGAACTCAATGTGGACCCATGGCCGATGTTCCACTTTCTTGAAGGACTCCAAATTTTATAGAGTAACTGCTGTGTTTAAAGTGAAGTGTTCTAGAATTCCTCCACTCCTTTGCTTCCTGATGCACAATGTGCTGCTCCTGTGGAGCGTGCTCCTCCAAGGTCACAGTCCCCTCAGAGCCTCCGCTGTGTGACTGGGACGATGGTCGTGGAGGGCCTTGTACTTGGAAGTCCTAAACGTCTCCTCTGCATGTCCTGTCCATGCTCTGCCCTTCTTAGGTGCCGCCTGCAGAGAGAGCCCCCTTCCCCAGCATGACCTCCAGCTTCAGATCAGCCACGGGTTTGGAACCAGACACCGAGTGCAAGGGTAGAACCAGGGTTCCTTCTGCCGAGGATCTAGTCACCCCAGGACCATCTCAAAAGCAAGCCGCCATGAGGGACCTCCCCCAATCCCCAGCTAGCTCCAGTCTCTCAGGAGCCCCTGCAGAATGTGCACATTCTCGCCCTCTCTGCTTTCTGTGTGACCGAGACCCCTGTGATGGTCCACATCTGAGATGGGCCTCATGGGCCCCTGGCCTGGTCTCACGCCCCATGCAATCCCCTACCCTCGAGTGAGGACCAGACCTCACCATCTGCTTCTAACAGAATATTCCAAAGCAATGGGATGTCACTTTCAAGAGAAGGTGAGGTGACCAAAAGACCACAGCTCTGTCTGGGCCACCTTCTCTTGCTGCCTCTTTTGGAGCACTGGCTCTGGAGGAAGTGGGCTTCCTTACCATGAGCAACCCGGGGCCTACAAGGCAGGGGAAGATGTCTCTGGTCAGTGAAGACGAGGCTGGTCAAAAAGACACACTGGTGATCTCCAATGAGACTAGACCCCAGCCAACACCTTTACTACCACCTGTGGGGGACCGGGAGCCCAAGGCACCCAGCTAAGCCACACCCAGATTCCCAACCCACAGAAATGGGAGATGATAAATGCACTCTTTAAGGTGGAGAGTTTAGGGCAAGGTGTTACACAGCAGTAGGTATCCGACACAATCCCATAAAAGCTATAATGGTGCTTCACTCGTCTATACATACCTCATGGCCCTCAGTTCAGAACCCTTCACATGATGGGATCTAACAAGTGCTTACTGAATTAAAAGAATGTGCAGTTTTTACCCTGTTAGGGTTTGGATCTGAAATCTCCCTCAAAGGCTCACGTGTTACAGGCTTGGTCCCTGGCAGTGTCACCACTGGGATGTGGTACAAACTTCAGGAGGTGGGGCCTTGTTGGAGGAGGTGGGTCCCTGCCGGCATGCCTCTGAAGGATAGATTTTGTCTCTGGACCTTTTCTTGCTCTCCACCTCTGTTTCTCGATGCCAGGAGACAAACATCTTTCCTCTACCACATCCTCCTGCCGCGATGCTCTGCCTCACCACAGACCCAGAAACAGTCCAGAGCCTCTGACACAGAACCAAGTTACATCTTCCTTCTTTTTTTTATTCACGTGATTTATTTATTTAGTTAGTTAGTTGTTTTTAGTCGTGCAGGACAGCAGAATGTATTTTGACATATAACACATACATGGACTGTACATACATCAATCATGATGTCTATTCTATTCTGCTGCCCTTCCTATCCTCCCTCCTCCTCCCCTCCTCTCCCATCCTTTCTCTCTATCCAATCTAATGTGACACATTTTTTTCTTTTTCTCCTCACAACATCACACATGATTTCTGTATAACAATGAGGTTCTCCTTCCATCTTCCGCTCAGCTCCCCCCCTCCCTCTTTTTCCCTCCCACCTCTCTTCCCTATTTAGTGGTAGTCTTCTTCTCATGCTCTTCCTCCCTATCCCATTTTGAGTCACCCCCCTTATATCAGAGAAGACATTCGGCATTTGTTTTTTAGGGATTGGCTAACTTCACTTAGCATAATCTGCTCTAATGCCATCCATTTGCCAGCAAATGCCATGTGGCATTTATATACAATGGAATATTACTCAGCACTAAAAAAATCTTCCTTCTTTTAAGCTGTTTTTCTCAGGTATTCTGTCACAGTGACAGAAAGCTGACATAGAAAATTGGTACCAAGCAGTGGGGTCACTGTTGTTAGTATACCTGACCATGTGGTTCAGAAGCCTTTGGAGTTGGTTTAGGAGATAAGCTTGGAAATGTTTGGGGAAGCAGGCTAGACAAAAGCTAAGAATGTTGTCAGCAGAGCTTATCAGGCAATGGAGACCAGAATGCTCACAGGAATATGGACAAAAAAGATCATGCTGATGAGGTTTCAGATGGAAATCAGGACTCCACTGGAAATTGCTAAGAGGCCACCCATGTTAGTTCCAGTAAGGTGCTTGTCTATATTTTGTCCATGCCCTGAGACTTTGTGTGGAGGCTGAGTTTAAATATGGTGATGAATCAGTCTGGTGGAGAAGATTTCACGGCAGCACAACATTCAGACTGTGGCATGGGTATTGTCGGCTGCTTTTAGTCAGATGATTTTGGTCAGCTTTTCTATCACAGTGACCAAATACCTGACAGGAATATCTCAGAGGAGGGAAAGTTCATTTGTTCTTGGCCCCAGGTGAGGCAGCACATCTTGGGGGAAGGGCCCAATAAAGGGAAGCTGCTCGGTTCATGGTGGGGTGGAGGGGGCCACAGGGAAAACACCTTCCAGGGCACCCCCCAGTGCCCCATGTCCTCCAGCCACGTCCACCTGCCTGCACTTACCACCTCCTGCAGTCCATTCAGCTGGGATGGACTGATCAGGTGACAGCTCTCAGCCCAATCATTTCTCCTCTGAATGTTCCTGTATCGACAGGTGCTTTTGGGGGATAGCTCATATTTGAACCATAACATACTTATGCAGTGAGAATTAGGAATGCAAAGGACAGCAGAAAAATTTGAGCTGTAGTTCAACCAGGAAGGAAGTAGTTAAAATATGGTCAAGAAAGGTGTGGTTGCTGAAGAAAGAAGCCAGGACTTCACCCTGGGACAACGGGAAAAAGCTCTCATGGCTTCTTAAGAACTGACCAGGCTCCACCCTACAACCCCAAGGTCATAAAGTGTGAATTCCTTTGAAGGACTGCTCTGAAAAGACAGCGCTGGCTGGCTCACCCTGCTCTGGGAAGCTGTTTCCCCAGGACTCACTTCCCTGTGCTCGACCACCAAGGCCCTCAGCGGCCGCTCGGCTGTGGTGCCAGTGAGCCCAGCTACTTCTCCCACTGCAGCAGAGGGTGGCGTGGTCCACGTGGCACTGGTTCTGCACACACACGGAATGCAAGGTTGTGTGGTCACAGAAGATTCTAACCAGATTTCAAAGACGGGTTGCCTCAAAATCTTGTTAACACGTCCAGTAATGCATGAATTTCACCTGATATCAGATGTACAGCCAGGAAAAGAATTTCAACTGTGACGGTGACAGTGGCCTCCTTCCAGGTTCTCTACTAATGAGCAAGTGGATCCTGCTGATGACCAGTCAGTGGCCTCTGTTTTATCTTAACCAGAACTGGAGCATTTGCTGGAAACCCCCATGTACCAGGAGCCTCTTTGCACACGTCATCTCTAAGCTCACAAGGAAGGTCCTGTGGGACTTCCATGAATGAGGAGGTTCAGAGAGGCAGAACAACTTCCCAAGGTAACACAGTGGCAAGCTGGTGGAGTACAGATTCAAACCCAGGCCTATCAGACTCCAGAACCTCCTTTGGCAACTCTACCCAGTTGGCCAGCTCACCCAGAGGCCATCCACTGTGGGTGAGAGCACGGAAATTATGGGATCAACAGCTCCTGCCCCTTCCCAGTTCTGAGGAGGAATGGAATTCCTGATCAACCACACCCATGGCTCGGCGGGTGAGGACCCGTGCACCTCAGATCAGTCAGGCACAGGTGGTCTTCGATTTCAGGGACGAGTGAGTGGAAAACATGAAGCTGCACCGAAGAGGGAAGGAACTGGCATGTGTCTGCTCTATCGATTACTAGAAGGAAAACGCTGTGTCTTTTAAAGTATGCTTTTAGAAAGTAGTAAAAAATCCAAGAATTGGTCTCATGCGGATGCTTCATGATGAGCTTAAAATAACAGGGTTTTGAGGGTATGGACAATGCAAAGCCCCAATGGGTAAAGCCCGCCCTCTGGACTCCTGTGATCCCACACAGAGGTCTACAGGGGAGAGGACCCGGGGATGCTTCTGCTAAAGGTGGAGGAGGAGAGACCCCCAAACTCCAGGCCTCGTAGAAGGGAAGCCAGCCTTTACCAAGGGTTGCCCACAGCCCACAGCGTCAGCTGGCTCCTCTCTCACAGTCTGTCAATCACCCCAGACTCTCAGGCCCACAGTTCCACAAAAGAACCACAGTCTCTGTGAATCATAAGGATAAGACATGTGACCACAGGGCAGGGGACATAGCACCACACCCCATTCCACTTCCAGGGCTCCCTGAGGGTACTGAATCCACCAAGCAATGCCAGCTTGGTGAGTGGCCACCCCTCAGCCATGTCCCCCAGAGCCCACCACCCCACCCTGTTCCCACAGGGCACTGCGAGGATGGGAAAGGAGGTCTGGAATGACGTCCCCAGCCTGCCCACCCCTCCAGCCACGGCCCTTACCTCCGGGGTCAGCGCGTTGTTGTCTGAGGTCTGGCTGGACAGCAGGATGTGTGTGAAGCCCTCCTCCTTCCGCACCACGATGTCTCGAAACCGACAGTTGCTCTCGTTCTGCCGGACGCTGTACCTGAGCCTCTTGTCAAAGACGTAATCCTTTTCTGTCTCCAGCTTCCTCTTCATGGGGCTGTGCAGGCTCAGCCCCCCGTTGGTCAGTGCAGAACCTTTCAAATCAGAAGCACAAAGTGAGAAACTGATGTCGACCACGATCCCCCAGGAGCGCGAGCAGAGAGCACCTGGGTTTTCCGTGGAGAGGCCAGCCGCACCTGGGACACTTGTGCACGCTCTGTTCTGGGGGTAGAGACTGGGGCTAAATGCTGTCTCTCCAAATTCAGAGCAGGATCCAGCTGCGTGGTCCTGAGCCCCTCTTTAGCACGCTGGCCAGTGAGCAACAGGGAACCCACTGGCCACTGGGGAGGCAGCCCTGTCCAAGGATGGACACCTCTGACAAAGGTGAGAACAGGAACAACACAAGCTGCTGGCCTTGGTCCAACCTGAGCTCTGTCCTGAGCATTATGCCCTTCGATAGAGAGCCAGGAATGGGGTCTTGAGGCCCCAGCGCTTCCCGGGGGCTGCCCTGAGCTGGGGAGGGGGAGGGCCAGGCAGGCAGGGTCCTCTCGTCTGCCCTCTCCTTCTGAATCAACACAGCGGCTGTGCACTTCACAAACAGCCAGAATGCCCTGGATGAAAGTCTGAAAGCAAACAGCAAAGGGCAGGACATGGATGTGACAGTCCCTAGGCTATCTAGGAGCTGCAAGGAGCTCTGGGGCATCCCGGGAGAGCAATCCAGGCCCACCCCAAACCTCCACCTGAAGCCCACATGGGAAGAGGCTCAAAGAGTATTTTTAAAACACTTCCCAATCAAGGGGAAGAAGGAGAGAGAGAGGTGACTGTTGATCCCAAGGAATTAAGAGGATACCATGAGAAATACCGTGAACTTCCACCCATGCATTCCACGGGTTAGATGAGATGCACCAACTCCTCGAAAGAGACAGACTCCCAACATACACACGAGGGGAAGCACATGGTTTCAACAGGACTTTATTAAATACACTGAAGCCATCAGTCATCTTCTAAACCAGAGTGCACTAGCCCAAGTGAGTCCTTCAAACATTTATGGAGGAAATCATACCAATCCTCCACGGTCCATTCCAGAACACAGAATCCAAGGAACACTTCCCAACTCATCCCCAGGGCTGCCACTACTCCACTACCAAAACCAGATGAAGATGTCCTGAGAAAACGACCACGGACCAATGTGTCTCATGAACACGGATGCGAAAGGGTCCCACAGAATATCAGCAAACCAATGCTAGCAAGGTGTACGCAAGCTGGATCAACAGCTGGACATCGACCTACACAGTCCACCACATCAGAGGGCTAAAGAAGAAAAATTATATCATTGCATCGACTGATGCAAAAAAAACCACATCTGACCAAATCCAATACAAGGTGCTTCCCCGCTTATAAAACTTCTCCTGCTGGCACCACACCCAGTTGTGGGAAACTATGGGCCTCCTCCTTAAGGTAGGAAGCAAGGAGAGAATGTCCTCTCTCAACATCACCTTGGAAGTCCTGGCTAGTGCACAGGACCAAAAAAGGAAGTGAAACATTATAGGATCAAGAAGGCAGAAACGAAATGACTTTCATTTGCAAATGGCAAGACTGTTTATGTAGAAAGTACCCAAGGATAAAAGGGGGGGAACCCCAATCACCACCATTCCTGGAACCAACAGGCAAATTCAGAAGGGTCCTGACACAGAAGGTCAATGTGCAAGTCGTTACTTTTCCACAGGCGAGCAAAGAACAACTGGAACTTGACATTTAAAAAACAGTGTTATTTACAACAGCACCCAGAATATGGAATATTTAGGTACAAATGTAATAAAATATGTACAAGAACTATAGGTGGAAAACTACAAAACTCCGACAAGAAAAATCAAAGAAGATCTAAATAAATCCAGGGATATTCTGTGTCCATGAATGTGAGTACCCCAAATTTTAAGATGTCAGTTCTGCCCCACTTTATCTATAGGTTCAATGCAATCCCAGTCAAAATCCCATAAGCTACTCTACACGTATTGTCAAACTAGTCCTAAATGACATTTAGGAAGGGAAAAGGTCTGGGATAACCAAGACAATACAAATAACAAAGCTGGAGGATTCCCACGACCCACTGTGGAGACTTAACACAAAGCCACAGTGTAGCACAGGAGAGAGGGTGGAGTGGGGACCAACCCACCCGAACAGAGACCCTAGAAACAGGCCCAGGCCAAGGCAGGGGGGCGATCCTGATGCGGGAACGAAGACGCTTTAGTGCAGAGAGGACAGACTTTTCCAACAAATGGTACTAAAACTGATGGGGGTGTGTTGGCAAAAGAAGAAAATGACCTTAACAGGACTTGATGCCTTTCTCAACCTGGACCCCAGACATAAGTGTAATGAAAAATTGTGAACTCTGAGAAGGTAAAAGGATGAAACCCAAGCAACTTTGGGTTTGGCAGTGAGTTTTTAGATACAGCAACAAACACAAGTTCCTTGAAATAAGAAATGCATAAGTTGAGTGTTAAAATTAAAAACGCCAGTTCCTGGAAGATCATTGCTGAAGTCTGTTACTGAGTGGAAATATTTTGCGAATATGGACCTGACAGATTTTTGTATCCAAAATGTCAAAGGACTCTTAAAAAGCAACAGTAAGAAAACTAACAACCCACTGACCAATGGGCAAAAGGTCTGCGGCGCCGCCAGAGGAGCCAGGCAGGTGGCAGGCAGGCCGCGCAGCAGGCACCATCCAGTCATGAGGGAATTAAGGCAAAGAAATGTCAGCCAGGGGACCTGCGCATACCTCAGGTCAGCCGGGAGACCCCTACGTGTACCCCAGGTCAGCTGGGAGACCCCCTATGTGTACCCCAGGTCAGCCAGGAGACCCCCCTACATGTACCCCAGGTCAGCCAGGAGACCCCCCTACATGTACCCCAGGTCAGCCAGGAGACCCCTATGTGTACCCCAGGTCAGACGGGAGACCCCCTATGTGTACCCCAGGTCATCTTGGAGACCCCTATGTGTACCCCAGGTCAGCTGGGAGACCCCTATGTGTACCCCAGGTCAGCCAGGAGACCCCTATGTGTACCCCAGGTCATCTGGGAGACCCCTATGTGTACCCCAGGTCATCCGGGAGACCCCCTATGTGTACCCCAGGTCATCTTGGAGACCCCTATGTGTACCCCAGGTCAGACGGGAGACCCCCTATGTGTACCCCAGGTCATCCGGGAGACCCCTATGTGTACCCCAGGTCAGCCAGCATCCAAAAGTACATGTACCCCAGGTCAGCCGGGAGACCCCCCTACGTGTACCCCAGGTCAGCCGGGAGACCCCCTATGTGTACCCCAGGTCAGCCGGGAGACCCCTACGTGTACCCCAGGTCAGCTGGGAGACCCCCTATGCGTACCCCAGGTCATCCGGGAGACCCCTACGTGTACCCCAGGTCAGCCAGCATCCAAAAGACTAACAGTGCCAAGTGCGAATGAGGACAGAGAGCCACAGGGAGTCACCTCACTGCGATGGGAACATGAAATGGGAGAGCCCTGTGGTAAGAGGTCGGGTCTTCTCTTGAAAGGCTGAGCGCAGCCTCAGCACAGGACACAGCAATCACCACTTGTGGATATTCATGGGCCCAGATGTTTGGGAATCTTACAGCCACGAAACAGTAACAAAACCAACCAAAAAAAATGCAGCTTTATTCACAGTCACCCCAGACTGCAAGTAACCAATATGTCCTTTAGTAGGGGAGAGAATATGCAAATACAATGGAAAAGCACTCAGTGACAAAAAGAAATCGGCCAGCAAGCCACAATATGATGAGTGAATTCTCAATGAACATCCAGGTAAAAGAAGTCAGTCTGAAACTCCAACTGAATGGTGTTCTAGGGATGATGAAACTGTAAATCTGCAAAAAGATCAGTGGTCGCTAGCGGTTCAGAACAAGGGGAGGGTTGAGTGGGTAAAGCAGAGGGGATTTTTAGAGCAGGGAAAAAATTCTGGATGACACAGAAATGGAGCCCACCAGACAGAAGGTGCTTGCCAAAACCCAAAAACTTTGTAGCCCGAGCGCAAACTTCAAGCATGCACATTTGCAATGTCACTTAGGAGGCTGCGGGATCCTGCAGAGAATGCAGAACGTGGCAGAGACCCCAGCTGTGCTGTGCATGTGTGAACACCTGGCTGGAGGTTGGGAAGCAAGGTGCTGACACTGGAGTCCACAAGACCAAGGGGAAATGAGCTCCAGATGAGCCCCGTCCTCCAACCCAAACGGCCGCTGCCAGAGGCCAGGGCTCACGATTCCCATCCTACGGTCCAGGTAGAAGACGACGACCGGACAGTTCAGCTAATGGACAGCAGATGGGGGAACAAGGTCTTCAGCAGGGTGGAGTTCACAGAGAAGCAAAGCAGGAGGCCAGAATGACCCACAGGGCACTGGGTGAGAGTGGCAGATGTCGCAAGCAAACTAGAGTAACTCAGGAAGGGAGGTCGTGCCCACAACCACCTGTACGTGAGCGTACGGCCACCCTGCACCCCCCCACTCTCAGCGGAGGGCCCAGAACCAGTGACACCCCAACCTCGATGGCACAAGTGGGCCTCCAAGCTGGGCTCCCCGCCCAGGGCACCCTGGCGAAGTGGCTGGCTCCAGGGCCAGAGCAGGAAGCACCCAAGACACGGTGCCAGAGCAGAAGCAAGACTCAAGCAACAAAACCACCCCCGCAACAGGCCAGAAAACCATCTCACAAACCCCAGTGGAGGGACCCCCTACGGATGCAAGCCCCTCAGGCCATCAAGAAGAACAGTGTGAGACGTCGGAGCCAGGAAGCTCACGGGGACGCGACACCCGCGGGCGCCGTACCCAGCACATTGGACGGGGTTCTGGGACAGGCTCAGCTCCAGAGTGGAGGCTCTAGGAAGTGCAGGTGGCTCCTGCCGACAAGTTGCTCTTCCTGCTCCTTGGCCACGGTGCCAGGCTAAGATGGTAAGATGCAAACAGAGGCCGGTGGGGGCACAGGCACTCAGCCAGCTCTCCCATCTTTCTGTAATTGTAAAACTATTTAAAAAGTAGAGTTTATCTTAAAGGGTCTATTTTCCAAATTAAGCTCATTACAGAGCAGCACTTCCC